CAGAAGCGTGCCAGCGCAGTTTTGATCAACTGAAGGAGTGCCTGACCCAGGCACCAGTCTTGATTCAACCTACTCCTGGCATCGAGTATACCATCTATAGTGACGCATCTCATAGCGGCTTAGGTTGTGTACTGATGCAGTTGAGTAAGGTAGTGGCCTACGCATCGAGACAGTTGAAGACTCACGAGGAGAATTACCCGACACATGATTTAGAGTTGGCAGCCGTGGTGTTCGCCTTGAAGATTTGGCGCCACTACATCTTTGGAGAGAGGATTCACATCTTCACCGACCACAAGAGTTTGAGGTACCTACTCACCCAGAAGGAGCTGAATCTTAGACAACATCGATGGTTGGAGCTGATCAAGGACTACGATTTAGTCATTGAGTATCACCCGGGCAAGGCTAACATCGTGGCCGATGCTTTGAGCAGAAAATCGTTAGCCGAGTTACAGCTTCAGTCTCCGTTAGAGCAGGAGATCCGTACAGCACAGAGAGATGATGAGTTTTGTCAGAAGACTCGAGAGTTAGTTCCTACAAGAAAGAGGCCCGAGTTTGCAATTCGCGATGACGGAGTCTTGTACTATCGTGAACGCCTAGTGGTGCCCTGCGGTGGAGTGAGGGATCGCTTGTTGCGTGAGGCTCACGGAACCGTATACACTATGCATCCGGGTAGTAACAAGATGTATCAGGATTTGAAGAAATCCTATTGGTGGCCAGCTATGAAAAAGGAAATCTCCGAGTTCACCGCGCGCTGTTTGACTTGTCAGCAAGTCAAGGCTGAGCACCAGGTTCCGACAGGGTTGCTGCACCCTCCTACCATTCCGGAATGGAAGTGGGAAAGGATCACTATGGACTTTGTGATAGGATTGCCACGATCTTCACGAAAGAATGACGCCATCTGGGTCATTGTTGACAGGTTGACAAAGTCCGCTCATTTTCTACCCGTCAGACGTGACTCTTCCTTGGACAAATTGGCAGACTTATACGTTAGAGAGATAGTTCGGTTGCACGGTGCACCGCTGTCAATCATATCTGATAGAGATCCCCGGTTCACTTCGAAGTTCTGGAGAGGACTTCAGAAGGCTTTTGGCACAGCTTTGAACCTTAGTACGGCATTTCACCCTCAGACCGATGGCCAGTCTGAGAGGGTGATACAGATTGTCGAGGATATGATGCGAGCTTGTGTGATCGACTTTGGAGAAGATTGGGAGCGTTACTTGCCGTTGATGGAGTTTGCATATAATAACAGTTACCAGGCGAGTATTCAGATGGCTCCGTATGAGGCACTCTACGGCAGAAAGTGCCGAACCCCGATTTGTTGGACAGAGCTTAGCGAGCGTAAGCTCGAGGGACCAGATATTGTGCAGGAAACCGAGGAAAAGGTTCGTGTGATCAGAGACCGACTCCGCACTGCTTCGGACAG